ACTATTAATTTATTTTTCATATAAAATCATACCCCTTCTAATGATTAAAGAAAAACCTGTACCGCAATAAATTTTCAATGCTACAATAATTTAACGACAAAATTATGAATGGCACTGTCAACTTCTATGAAATCAATATCTATATATGTTTAAAAACACCGTACATAATCTATAATGTTTATTCTCCCGTTTATAAATTATCGAAAGTTTCGCAAATAACGAAATTCACAAACAAACACTATCACACATCGTAAATATTCTGAAATATCCTTTTTTTATTATTGTGCTTACTTCTTTAGAAGGAATATATTGCTTGGTGTTAATTGCACTAATTTAATTGTAAATAATTTTTTAAAAATATTTCGACAGAAATTTTAAACCACTGTCTTCGAAATTCCATCAGCAGTTATAAACTATCCTGCAGTAATAGAAACTGAATTAGAAATCTACTCTGTTCATTTCAAAATAAAATAAATTAATCGTAAAATTCTTCCAAATGATTTTAACTATAAAAATATAAGTGAACTAGCTATAAGAATCAAAATTCTATTAAGAATCCTGATTTTACACATACATATTATACTTAACAAAGTTTCCTTCACTGTACAGTAGAACCTACATTATTCAATTTGATTTGGTGACTAATTGTCTACAGAAATACAGTCCTCAGGTGAAATTTTTCTCAGTATGTTCGTAAAATTCGATTATATATATCCTGAGGCATAAGGTCATCCCATACATGATGCAATGTAATTTTTTATCCTTTCTTTACTTTTAAGAATTAAAATAAACAAAACTTTGTTTAATCTAAAATATATTCTTCTTCGTAAAATATTTTAGGTTACAACAAGTTTCGTTTATTTTAATTTTTTTAAATAAAGGAATTATAAAAAAATCCGTATTGTTTGTGAGATGACCCAGTAGAATTTAAGAATCTGAATTTAGTTCGTAGATAATTGACACTCCAGATGATCTAATTTGCGAAAAATAACAACTTGGTTAATCGGAGTACTACTGTATCACCTAATTCCAATATAGTACTTGATAAAATACAGGTATATAGATGTTTATGGTACAAAGCGTATCTAGGATTCAAGAAATTCGTCCAAAGGAGGCTTTAACTTCCAAAGGATCGCGTGTTCGCGGCGGCAGGTTGTCGAGCGTGATCGCGGGATCAACAACAATATCATTGAACGAGCTGTTTAAATTCCATACACTCCATATTGGCTATACAATGGTCGTGTCGTAGCTGCACAATGCGCGGGATGCATACGCCGGTGAATGTGTGCGGGCTGACAGTCGCGCGGATACGCGTGGAGACGAAGAATACTGACACTCGGTGTGTCAATCAATGGCCGGTTCTGCGGCTGTGATAAAATCAATGCCAAATGCCCAGTACATTTGGCATTATTATGCAACGTGAAACGCCGGAATGTTGCGTGTCGCGAAAAATGCGACTGGTTCCACATAAAACGTGTGCATCATCGCTGTATAACCGATTTCCGTGTCAAGACCGTTTTGGCCTATTCGTCTCCACACATTATTGGCCAATCAACAAACATAAATTCGAAGTACACTTGTAAAATTTACATGTCAATTTACTTTAAAATTTCACTATAACTTATAAAATTAGTTAACTTATTTCTATTATAGTTTGTAACTTGTGACTTGAGACTTGTAACTTGTGATTTGTGACTTATGACTTATGACTTATGACTTATGACTTATGACTTATGATTTATGACTTCTGATTTATGACCTGTGACTTACGAATCATAATTTATCACTTATAACTTATAACTTATAAAAATAAGTTATTCAACATTTTATTTTCGTCTTCTTTTATAATTTATAGAGTAAGCTAGCATATAAAATGGAATGCTTTCAAATCGGCATACGCGGAATGAAGAAATTTAAATGCCTTTTGAGTATGGGTATAAATGAATAAACGATATTAATACATTGTACACTATTTGTAAATTGAAGTATACTCGTATTTGTTTATACAGCAGATTAAGCGATTATCAAAGTATGAAACTCTATAAATTGGGAAAGATGCATTACATAGCCTATATAAAATTAATAAAGTAAAATTGTAATCAACGAGGAGTCACACGAGTTATATCTGTGCAACGATGACGAATAGCATACGCTATGATGTTCTTTGTCGTATCGACGGAAATATTAAATTCTACTTATTCCTATAAATATGACAGTCTTAAATTAACAATCGGTTTTTACTTATACTTTAATCCTTTCGTTATTATAGATAACCAATGATCAGAATTTTACATTGTTTCACTGAGTACTGCGTGTATCATCGACGATGCTGCATATATATTTATAAAAGAATTATTTTTGTCGGATCAAACTACCATAATTGTAGTTGAAACTTTAAAAACAATAAAAACATATTGTATTTGATTTAAAAAATCACCACGGTTCGCATGTGATATGCAACCTAATTTTGTTTGCCGCGGTATTGTGTTAGTTAGCACCTTCTTTTAAGCTTTTGCACTATAGATTCTTTCACAACTGTACCTGACAGAATAATTTTCTAGTTAATTTTAATTAGATTCATTTACTAAATATAATTGAATCGTAATAATTAATAATTATGATTACATTTATTGAAAGAAAAAAAAACTCAACGTTTATCGCAACTTTATACTTACTTTGAAATTGAACATTGTTACTGCAACAAATTGAAAAATTGACAGTATTCGAGTTTGTTAAATTGAATTCGGAATCTTCGCTAAGAGGTTCATTCAATTTTCTAAGGCGAGTTAAGGATAAATTGTCACTCGAGTTCGAAGTTAATTATAAAACGTATACTATATATTCTGTAGTAATCTCGAACTGTTTGTAAATTGCATTCAGTATTTTCTTGCTTTATATTCTTCTTACGAAAAATAATTATTACCAAAAATTTGAATTCATGTATCGTTCGTGCTGTTACATAAATGTCCACTGTTTGCTGACGTAAGAGATATTCCTAAGTTAAGAATGACAAGTCAAATGCTCGTACACATAACTACATACAGTAGCAACGTCCGTTGCTGTGTTAACGCTCGTGTGACCGCACTCTTAATCGATCAGGACGTTCGCGAAACGCGTGCAATTGACGAGACAAACGCGATCACGCGCCTCCGGTTTGTCTCCTTTGGACGATGGACTCTCGATCGTGTTCTATTAAGCCATATCGTTTTCAATACTTCTATTTTATTCAATGTACCTGTGGATACAAGACGGAACGTTGTAAGTCATATTTCTAAAACACTTCACTTCTGACCTTGACACATTGACAATTGATGTCACTTAGCAGTGACTTCTATCAACTGATGTTTATCAGTCGATGTCAAATGTGATTCAGTTAATCTCAACTTTATCATATAAAATTAAAATTTGAATTTTTTATATTATGTAGATGATCAGAAATTATTTTATATTATTTTATAACTAAAGTAATTCTGATTTTATTACATTCATACCTCTGACTTTCTGAAGGATATAGGTAATACGTTTTACAACAAAATATACGGCCACCAAAGCATCAATTCGAAATTAAAAACTAAACGTTTTACTTCTATAGAAAGAAAATTGAGAACAATGCAAAAATTTGATCCGCATTTAAAAAATTGGTGTATCGTTTTAAAACATTCTCTACCAAATTAAATAGAACCTAAATCACATGTGATACTTTCTATACGAAGTTTTGTGTCCAATTTAATGCGAATATGCGAAATAATTAAGTAAGAAATCACAGAAGATAGAATAAAGTAACAGGTTCAAAGGAACATTGGAACTGGGAAACAGAATTTTACAATAGAGTGTTTGTACTCTTTATTAACTTCGGTGATTAAACATTTGACTTATATTTGAACATATTTCTCAATAAGTAATTGTCTTTTTCTTTTATCATATTCATATTACTTCCAAAAAAATCTTCTTTAAATTGAATTCATTACATCCACATAGATCATTATACACAATGAAAAAGATCACAAGGTTAGCAACTTCATTTACTCAATTTATTAAAAATACGAGTAACACTACATAAGAAACAGGTAGTAAATTTGAAATATATTAAAAATATCGAACTGTCAAAGTCATTGAAAATAAACTCCTTTTTTTTATTTCACTTGTATCGTAGCACAGAAATAAATAAATTCATGTACTCAACACTTGCGCGATTTTACTAACCGTAAAACCGCAAATCTGAAATGAATTATCTGAACGAGTTTCGTACTTCTCCTTTTAGTTGACCCGGAAAAATCGAGAACGGAGCAACAGGTTACAAGGTAAACATCTTTAAAAATAAAACTTGCCAGAGCAGGAGACGAAGTTTTATTCTTCGCACGAGTTACAAAAACAAAAGCCCTCTACCCTAAAAGATTCGCGTGTAGGTCGTTTTCTTTCACAGTTCGTGCATGAATTTTTCATTTCACTGGTTCCAGTTGCTTCCCGTACTCCGCACTCACGTGGAACTTCACTAGTCTGTTGCGCAAACGAACACGTGCTCTCAACAGATTCGAAATAAACGCAAACGCGCTAATCATGGGATAAATCTTGACAGAAACTATCTCCGCGCGCATGAATTAACGGAACGGCTCTTCTAGCATTGGTTGAAACTCGAGTCCGTCAGACCGTGGACTGTTTAATCTCGTTTTGATCCGACCGGCTCCGCACGATTCAATCATACCAGATAATCTCTTCGCAGTAAACCGTATTATCGCCGGCTTCCTCTAACGAGCGAAAATTCATTTAATCCGTATGAACGTCGCTTCAGTGTTGATTCCCATTCGTTTGATCCGATTCCAAACTTATATTATGATTTTCACGGTATCACACTATCTAGTAACATCGCGTTTCACCAAGTAAAACGAGGATAAAAGGGAGACGGGAAAGCAAACAGGCGAAAGAGAACAAGAAAAACAATCCACGATCGAACGTAAACACGTGGAAATGGAAGTTTCGAGTGGTCTTTCCGCAATACTCACAGCACGTCTCTAGGCAAGGTCTTGTAGAGCGCGTAAATGGTGCGTCGACGGTTTCCGGTGAGCAGATAGCCGGCGATAAGGACGGACAAAGCCGCGATCACCAGTTCGTACGTTGCCATGGCTCGATGAACGCGAACCGAGCAAGTATTATAGAAAGTACACCACGATGCAAATGCAGCCTGCGCTCGCGGGAAATTGAAAAGCGAATTCCCGGTTCTCGAACGGGCGGACGCGCAGGGACGCCGGACTCGCGACCGAATCCGCGACCGAACCACGACTGACAGTGTCGTTAACGGACACGATACAGCTATCTGTCGACGTGTGTACGGCCATGTGTATGTGCGTCGTTTCTCGCGAACGGAGCGTACGAGCGATTGTCATTGATAGTCATTGGCGTAGTCTGTCGGAAATCCGAGGGTGCGAGACACGCGGCGCGAGCAAAGGTCGAGGGGTCGACTTCTGACCGCATGTTCAAAAGTTACTATGATAAGAACTTTTAACAGTACTGACAATGTTGTATCAGTTTTTAATTTTTCACGTGTGATGGATGTTAAATAGCTTATCGCGAGAGCCTGAAGTACTGCCGCGTTACTTTAAATTATTTTTTTGTTTAATTTTAATTTTTGAGAGACAATATAGGTAGCAAGTTTTCAGAATGTTCTACTCGGCGTGAATATGTCATAAACATATGAGTTACGAGTTTGACAGTGAGAGTTTTTAATTTGATACAAATAATAGATTTAATGAGATTTTTGTTATTCGATTATATATTTGTGATTTCACACATAAGCACAAAATAATTAACATTGTTAAGTAAAAGTGTAATTTCATTCCTCGACGTGTAGGAGAATTTATGTAATTGCTTTTTTAATCGTTTCAAGTTCAATAAAATTTTACCCAGTCATCACAATTTATGTTATCACTGTATCAAATAAATGAAACTTAATTACACGCAGGTATATCGGACGTTTATGACACTCAATAAAATTATTTTTCTTCCGTTGCACACGACATTATTAAACGAAGACATGCGTCATAGTTTTAATTTTGGACTGGAGAAAGCTGTGTACCATATAAAAGTTGACCGAATACCGTTTTTTTCAGGTTATGCATTTTTGGGAATTTGGATCTATTTCGAGAATATACCATCCCAGACTATATAATCCTTTGTCTTACGACTTTCTTGACTATGTTTCATAAGAATTAGTTTACTATTAATTATTTTTCACTAGAAAACGAAATTATGCCATCGTAGTAGGAGTGCATATAATGCTAAAGTTGAATATTTATAAATAAAAAAATGCTACTACCATATTCCTTCGATTGACATAAAATAAATAATATTCATATCATTTATATCTAATATATAATCTTCATTATGAGTTTGACTAGATTTTTAAAAAATGGCGGTTAACCATTAACAACCTTATTTCTGTTATACTTGCCATTTCAATTTAAAAAATTGCATCGTATAAAGTACTCGATAATTCAAGGTAAATCGTTATTCGAAATAAACATAGAAAGGAGAAAAGGTTTTTGGATTTAGTAAGAATCTAGGAAATTGGAAATGGTAAGATCAATGCTACTGTTACATTCGTTCGTGAACGACCAATTGATACCGGTCCACGTTGGCTGTTGCACCGCGTCAATTGCAATGGTGACAGCTTTAATTGCACTACAGTAGAGAGGCGCGCGTGTGCTGCACCGTTGTGTTCAATTTTCGAATCGATGAATTAAACGGATACCGTTGGACGCGGAGAAAGGCTTAAAGATAAAATAACGCGCGTATCAACACCGTGAGATTATATAACGCCTAATGCAACGAACGTCGATCGATCCGGGAATCGACGAAACCATTTATCGTTTCTTTTGCATCGATCGAAGTAATAATTTCAGTGTGGGGCAAAAAGAAACAAGCGCGTGGGTCGCGATGCATTTAAAAATAATAAGATATGTATTCATATATATAAACTTATGATTATGATACACGCATAGAATCCATGAAAGACAGGTACAAATGTACAATGTACGCTCGTAAACGATCGGATTTCAGTCTGGAGGAAGCCTCAGTCACGAATATTTCAGGATGATGGATACTGAAAAATAAAAGACGCAGTGATACGTAGTTTCCGGTCTAACGGGGCACAAAAAGAGCATCGAAGCATGGCGGGGTGGGTGCAAATCGGGCATGAAAAGTGAAAAGAAATGTGATAAACCTCGCTGTTACATCGGATCTGGCGCGATACGTTGAATCTCCCCGTGACGTTACGGCAGCCATTTTGTTTATTTGTCATCGGTTTGAGATGTGTTAAATGCGCGCGTAAACAATGTAGATTAGTGGAGAGAAAGTGGTATGAATAATACCTGCAATTGAACGATCGAGGCTCACTACACCGTGTTCGCTATCTGAGAACCAGGTAAAGCACCATGATGTCCAGAACTGAAAACGATACCCGTCGGTCTGACTACGTGGACTGTGTTAAATCGTTCTTTCGCGTGACGATGTATGACTGACACAGTGAGCAGAGACATTACTCGAGAACAGAAAACATAGCGACACATGAACGTGAACTACAGACTTCTGCAAGCGACAGACGAACACAGTTAACGAATCGTTCTGAACCAGAAATGAGCGATTAGTATTCAAACACAGCTGAAATTCTCTCGAGTTTTCGGGAGACAATAATGTAAGAGAAAGAGTAATATTGATAGTGTATAATATTTTAATACATACGAAGAAGTTCAAGTAAATTTTAACTTTGGAATGTGTTTTTTATACTTAATCGCATATTTTTGTACCGAACATTAAATGCAACGGAAAGAATAGCATGCATCGTACATGCATATCTAGCAGACACTGGTTTATTTATTTACCGATGATGAAGATGACGATCGTCACTGTGATAGTGACTAGTACGATTCTTGTCCTGAAGTTTTGAAGCCACGCTTTTTGCTGCGCTCTCTTCGCCGCCGCTCTAAACTCGTTTCCTGTTATGTTCAAACGATCGCTAGCTTCCTGTAGGTCTTCGAGCCGCTCGCCTCGCTCCATTATTTTTTGCACGTTCTCTCGCATCACCTCCGTTACCTCTTGAATTTGAACTCGAACGCTTAAACGTGAAAAAATGCAAATCTTAAACATTTTGCTATGAAAAAACGTTTTCACTGAATAAAACAATTTTCTGAAGCAACAAATGATGCAGAGTCTGACTAATCATCTTTATGTGAATTTTCATTCGCAAAGATTATTTTATGGAGTAAAACGGAATAATGTACAGAATAAATTAAAAATTAATTTAAAATCCTAAAATAACAATATATTATGAACCAGACATTTTGTTGCTAATCATACTTAGTAATCATCCACTTTTCGCGTTAAGTATTTTCAAGCTATCTAAAATTTGTATGAAGTTAAAAATTGTTATATCGTTAAGTACATAATTTCGAGGGTTATTTTAGAATTACATGCATTATCGAAATACATATTATTTCGAAGTGTTTACGCGTTAAAGCTATATATGAAACACGAAATGTCTCGTTGTCCGCCCGTAATGTGTCAAAGAATAAAATATATCAAAATAAAGAAAAAAATATATAATCGATTAATAAGTTTCCTTTAGTATGTAAGTAAAGATTTGCGATGTAATAATATATAATACAAACATTTAAATAATTTTAAAATGAAAATAGAAATCATATTTACCTATCCAGCTTTCCATCTGATTTAGTCCTACTCGGTTCTGCCGTAGATGTATTTGGGCGGCTAAAAATTAATACTTAATATTATAATATGTACAATAAATAGTAACATCTTCCGTGCTTAAATTAACAGAGAGGCAGGTATTGGGGCAAGAGAAATTTTCTGACATTTAATATTTTGGCAGTCGCTAACATAACTCTATTTCATTTTGAATTCTATATTTGGTTGCCGCTGACGTAGTTCTACGTCATTTTAAATTCCATAGCTGATTGCCGCTGACGATGTTCATTCTATATTTACAGTCAGTTATGAGCATTTTGTATTTATTAGGACTCTATCATTTGCATTTATGATCATTGCAAGTGCTTAAAAATAAATTAATAAAACGACATATTGTTGGATATTCTCACACAGCGTTACTGTTAAACTTTGTTACCAGTTGATAATTTATAAAGATTCACGTTTGAATTTATTATTTAATATTATACAGAATTCCTTATAATGAATTTTAACAAATTTTTTAATCTTAATGCTTTTACTATTGAAAATTCTGTTTATTTTATTGTAAAATCTCAATCCGTTTTAATTCTAAATGACTGCAAGCATGATATTATAAAGTAAATTTTCTTTTATTTGTACTCATATTTTAATATCTATGTAGAACATTATGGCAACCAGTTGTAGATTTCTAAAAATTTGATGCAGCCTTGTGTTAAAGGTTTCGCGTCAGATGCGACTCCGAAAAAATTATCATTTATTCTAGGAGAAAGCATTAAAGTTGACAGAATGTTTAAATATTTATATACTACAGTGCTAAAGATATAGCATTAAAACTTTGAATATTTAAAATATAAATTTTGAAAATTGTTTAAAAAAATTATTTAATTCAATAAAAATTACATGAACATATGAAAATGTATTCCCTTTCATTTGAAAAATGTAAGTTACTCCACTTCCATGTCTTAGCGGCATACGATAAAAATCAATTTCATACAATAAAACTTGAAAAAAAATAGTCCCGATATCATTAACAGATTCATATCTATGACGAAACACCCTGTACAGAATCATACGTATCTGCAACAGGAGGTGACATCTGTTGCTAGGAGCTGCCCGGTTTTGATAAGCGTACATTCGAATAATAGATATTCGAATGCAGAGGGCTCTGATGTATTACAAATATCAAAAATAAAATAATGTCAACCCACTCACTTGAACAACATATCTTCATCCAGATCACTGTCGTGCTCCAAAAGAGACTCCTGAAACAGTTCGAGCAAATTTAAATTTCCCGCCGTGCATTGACATTTCCATGGCGCGTGTTATCTGTGCCTCGACTGTATCCGAGACAGCTGCGATAGCCACTCACTTTTTCGTCCTTGGCCGCGGCTTGCATGTCCTCTCTAGACAAATTCCATTTGCTCCCTGTCGCCATTCTCCTGTTGAATGATCTTGCTACTTATCGTCCACCGAAGAGATTAAATATTCTGCCGTGAAATTATCAGTTTCCACAGTCGTGACTCGTATGCACCTCGACAGGCACTCAACGCGTAGCCATATTGTTACGATGTTCGCTGTTCCATCGACCTGGAGCTGGTTTTAGACCACGTTGCTTCACGATAGATGGCGACTACCGTCGGCCCCACACTGAATGCATTTTGCAGCCGAAACATGAAGGGATTATTTAGAGGATTAATGGATATTGTATACGAATACATTCTACTTCAGTAATACTTTTGTTAAAGTCCTGAGTTTCTTTAATACTCCTTTTTTAAATTGTTATTCCATTTATTTGACAATGGCTTTATCCAAAGAAAAGTAGTAAAAAGATATATTTAATATTTTCTGCGGTTGAATTCATGACTCTATTATTATCATTCTATTTAGTTTCCTTTTATTTTCTTTATCCTGATATAATGCCAATTAATTATGAAAGTCACTGAGGGCTTATCGTAGAAAATGGAGTTTTAGTTCAATGACCTATATGAAAAGGAATTTAATTAAAAGTTTTTATTGAAGCATTGTTCTTTATTAATGATAGGAAGCAGAAGGTTTGGATACCAAATCATCGTGCAAAATCGTACAGCTTCGTAATTCCACGTTTTTAAGAAGAAGTGTGATTTTAAGATGAAAAAGGCATATTCTTCTTCTTTAAACATAAAACTAATTAGTGATTTTCGAGATTCCAATAATTTTCAAACGCATGTGAACAACCGGACATCGACAGTAAATATGTATCTACTTGTGCAACACAGTCAGACGTCATTTGTCAATTAGTAATTCAACAATATTTAAATCATTGCAATCAGAAATCATTCATCAAATTATCAAATCATTATTTAACAGATTTATACAATTTCATTTACAAACATTCGTAAGATCATATGCATTCATTAAATAAGCCTCGTACAAACACTCTCACAAACTATCACAAACATTTCAGTACTCCCCAACCGAATAGTGTATTAATGAATAAAATACTAAAACCAGTGTATTAATATAAAAAATTTCACTGACGTTTACTCAAAATTACTGAAATTCCTTATTCAAGCAAAATTCTGTGGATTGTGTAACTAGAGTAAGGATGGCATCAAGGTTGAAATAGGAGGAAACCTAGCTAGACATTTTTCCTTCTCTTTCGTGTTTTCCTCTATTTTCATTTCTCATATTTCAAACCTACTAAAATCATGCACTGAGTATTACGCATTGTATGACACACTAGGAAATAAAGGTAAAGGAAAGAACATACAAAAGCCCCAGTTGCGTATATTGCTTTTATTTTGACATACACATCTAAAGTCTAACCTCTACAACAGAGATCCAGTACAATACGATGATTAACAAAATAATTTGATTGTCGTGCGAGCGTGCAGGGGCTGTCCGCGAAAGGAACTGCGAAACGATGAAACGACAACGATACCGAGTTGCTATTCCCTCCAAATCTCGATAAGGAACGTCTCAGTCCATTTACCATTGTGTTTCAGAATTTCGTTTCGTTCTTTCTCCTATTTTCTTTTTCCGTGGTTAACGATAGAAGAACTGAGAATCTGTCTTTTAACCTGTTAACGGAGAAATACGAGTTATCTTGTCTTTTGTAGTCATCTACATCCTTTAACTATTTCTTATTTATTTGTCAGAAAACTCTTGATCTTAAATATTATCATACTCCTAGTAATATAAATCAGACATGCGTTTATATCAAACATATATTCGGAATAAATCACTTCATATAATTTTCATTCATACTTAAGAGTGCTTATAAAGATGTCACTGGAATAAACTACATTAAATCATTGCCATTTGCATTTAATAGTGTTCATAAGAATATCAACGATCTAATAAGAGTCTCCTTATTAACAGGTTAATAGAAATACTGTCGCTTCCTGCACGGATTTCTCGCGCTCGAGCTGTATCGCTCTCAAAAAGTAGAAAAATGTCGATCATACGGACAAGAGATCGCGATGGAGCATGTGTTGCGCATATAAAAATAGACCAACCCTCCGAGGCGTCCATGATGACTCTGGTTAACAGCTTCTGGTTATCATCGTACTAAGTACTCAACTGACAATGAGTATTAACAATACACAAAACTTTCTTCGGCGATCAGGTGTCGTAGTTTCTATAATTATCGCGGAATAATTTTCACGAAACAACAAATTTTCGTCGTTAAATTTTTATTCCGGAAAATGAAAAAACGATGATGTTATTCTTGCAACGCATGAGGGAATACTATCTACGATTAAACACAACCGACGAACGAATCGCTCCTCTACTAGAAACCGTTGTTCGACATGCGAAGCGCTAATATAACTTGCAGATCCTCGGCTTATGGTTGCAACAGTTTCGAGCGTTATCGATAATTCTCCGTGTTCTGTTGAAAGTAACAAGAACAACGATATAATAAAGTCTACATACACATATACCGACGAGGAGGATGCATCCACCCCGTCTTGTACGTTTTTAGGCCGTCCCTACTCGATTGAACGCTGTCCGTTCAATAACCTTATCGATACTCGCGCGAAGTTAACAGTCTAAATAGTTTGGAACCACGTTTCAGTGGCAAAATCGAAAAAGAAACGATCGAGCGTAGCACAGCTGGAAAAAACGCGGCGTTTTAGCGAAATGACACAGACGTTCAATGGAAACGATTAAACCGACCTTTTACTGGCTACGATAAAATCCACGAGAGCTACATTTTTATGCTACCAGAAATCATCCTTTTCAATTCCTTTCTCTTGCTCTTTTACAACGCTCATGTGTGGAACGATCTACATTATCTCAAGTGTTATCGTGCCTAATAGCTTGAAAAACGTATTTTATCGATTCGAAAAGTAGCTTTTTCGTGAAATTCGCTGTGTGTAGATCAGAGCTTCCATGGCCCACAAATGTATTTAAAATCGATATATTTATAACGGACATGTTACACTCACCGGATAGTAAATATTTTGAAATTTCCATGTGTTTGTAATATACGTGAGAATAATGTATACACATTTCATTGAAATCGAACGACACACGTCTGAGATGTCCATTGTTATTAAATTAAAACATATCGATTGTAACCTGTTAACTGTGAAATTTAGTTTCAAAAATCACTCTCACTGTGTGCATATTAAAATCAAACAATGAAGTATATACTCGTCAAACGAAGGGCAAATGCACTTATAATATATTGTAACGAAAAACTAAAGGAAAATGAAAAAGAATTATGTTTATCTACAAAAATAAATAATTTATGGTTGAAAGAATTAGTATCATTTTCAGTTTTTTACGATAACGTGTACACTCGCCAAACGCAGTTCACTGGTTAAATACTTCCATGGACCAGTGTAAATACTATCAACGAGACTTCTATCCCTTTGCACTCGAAAGTTCTTTTCCGGTATAATATTCATCACTTTCTGATGAAATACACCGATTACACTTATTACGACTAACATAAAGAGAAATCGTACAATCGTAAAAATTGAATACTAGTTGTGAGACTTCATAATTTTCTTGCATCAAACTGAGTGCAAAGGGTTAACCCTTCAGAGACGACTCATTGCCGACTTCTGTTCATATGACCAACGGTGTGTTAAGATGTTGCTGTAATCTGTTATTAATTTATACTTTCTGATACTTCTTGATGGATATCTTTAATTTAAAAATGCAGCAGAAAATGTTAATTGGATAGTTAAACAAAATAAAAGTGACTTCAATACATACGTCGTCTCTAAAGGATTAATAAATTGTGATTAGGAAGTAATCGAGCTCGTTTGGACTGCAATTATCATGTTTTAGACGAAAACTATTGCAAAATTGTAATACCTACATAGAGTAATTACACTGCTTAATCGCGCGGAGTGACGAGTCAAAACCACGAAGACGGTCCAAACACACCGTGAAGAGATTTCTCGCGATAATATACTTGCTTAATCTCTACAATATACTACGTTTATACAGAATATAGTATCGTTTCCATATTGTACGAAATTAGAGAGGACGACCAGCGTCATAATCGGACGAAACCAGCGTCCAGCAGAAGGAGGGGACGATTTCGACAGCCATTGGCTCGATTTTCGAAGCGAAACCTTGAGATGTAAACGATTTGTTTGGCAAAATGATGATTAGAAAAAGGGAAACTACCTTCCGTCCCAGCACTTCGGAAATCGAACCCATCGTGGAATGTCGAAACACGTTTTGACACGAATCATATTCGATTCGGAAGTAGCCAACGATTGGCGACATTGTTTGTCTTAGTCAGTGGAAAATATTTATTTGAGGTCAGTTCATTGTAAATTCAGAATTATCGTGATCATCAGAGATCCGCGGACGAAAGTCAACAGATAGATAAGTTTTTTCATATTTAGTTTCTATTAACATTTGAGAACGGTCATGGTCATATTAGCAGTACATACCGAGCATTACAATGAAAAGCTGTAAATAAATAATTGAATTATATAATCAACAAGGTATAAATGCATAGTTTACATCGTTTCTAATGTTTTAGAATTTTTTGTACAATTTGGCTTCATCTAGAAATTTCTGCAGTATTATAAAAAGTTCCAAAAAGAATAGATTATTCCTATATGAATTAAATCTTCTCTAAATTTTGTAATGCAACAAACAAACTGCCAATTTTATGCATATGCAGAATAAAAAGAAAGTCATGGAAAGAAAGAATGGAAGAAACGTTTCAAATTGTTTGCACACAATAAAGTTCATGTTTCCCCAACAATATCGAGACTTTATGCAATGAAAATATAATTAATTGAAGTTAAATCCACTGGTTGCACTGTTTATAAAATTTCATTCGATCGATACATTCTTTCATATTTACCGATGTATGTCACGACTGACACGAACGTGTACGTGTGCAGTACATAGTGTAAAATCTATGCACGTACCAGGCGTCTGCAATCAATTCTATTGTACTCCGTATAAGAACCACTCTGTAAAGGAATGTCTTCGCATGTTGCAACACAGGGAGCAAGAGACATGTGCTATCCATTAGACCCTAATAAATAATTGAACCGCGTAGAAACACTAGCCGCCAAATTTATCCACGCGCAGGTTTCCTGTCCCATTCGTCTTCGATTCTAATTTCAAAGATTGGCGCGCGAACCCGTTGCGCCGCATATTAGTCCGAAATCACTTTTTAAGATGACTGCGCTTTGATTTCCTGCCCGGGATTGTAGTTATAAGTCACAGTTTTTGCAATCAGCTGTTAATCTTCATAGATGATTTACCTTGTTTAACATGGAAAAAAATCTAGCAATATTTACGAAGATTCAAATTTACATTTATTACTTTAATGGATAGCTGTCCTAGATAAACAGAAAACGAAGGTGAATATCAAATGTCATAGAAATCCTTACTTTATGCATTGTGTTTCACGAAATGGCGTATATAAATGCACAAAATCGGCAGTCTAATAGCAATACATTCTGCTTATTAATGTTTCAGTAGTTTAAATGCAAACGTTTCATATTGCAGAGACAACTGTCTCCAAAAATTCAACCATTTCGTAGATTCCGTAGGACAAAATTAATCTGACACAATTTAAATTAAAAATATATAAAGTAACTTAATTTATCTTTAAATGCATCTGTTTATTAACATGTTCGCGACCACGCACAGTGCGACCCAAAATTCGACTACACACATAACGAATATTGAAGGTTATCAATGTGTAGCTAAGTGGTCCCTGCTATACAAAATGATTTTCATTGAAAAAATAATAATTTTGTGCAAATAAATTCCGTTTCTTTATTTATATAACGTTGTAATCGAAACGCAAAATATTCATTGCCATTTAAAAGACTTCATAATATCCCCATAATGTAAACAAAATATATGTTTAGTTCTATACCTTACAATTTTTGTCTAAAGCATTTTTTTTGTATCACTCATACTTTTTAAGTTATTGAGTTTTGTCCAGAAAACTGGTGGCTGGCTGCATTGTTCCACAGTCGTTTTCGAAATACCCTCGCTGTAGACCGTGCCTTTCTCACAATTGTTTCACATGATATGTTATTTTTACAATTTTTACACGTGTAAAACATAGCAAATAAATCAAGCAAAGTATTTTATATAAATGTCATACATACCCCTAATTTTGAAAGTGGACTCAGACATTTCATGAATTCAAAATTATATCTTTTTACAAGTTACACACAAGGTTATACAGTCATAATACATTCTTATTTTTCAAGACTAAATATCTTCTGAAATATTCTGTTACGTACAATAGTGTACAAATATTTTTTAATTTATTCAAACAAACTTTTAGGTATCTTGAAACTGAACATACATAACTTACGAAGGAAGTTATCGCATCCGAAAATTCAAAAAATCATGAAACTTTGTGTGTAAGTAGAGTAAGTGAAGCCTAATACATTGCAATTTTTGTTCATGCCGAATTTCATTCTGAAACGGTGAAGTTACCCCTTCAAAAAACGTAAAGTTTTCTTTCCCATGGATTATCTTGAAAACGGTAAGAGATAGCGAAAAAAGTTTAAACAAAAAATACATTGCCCTTTCACGTTTATAGAACTGTAAAATAAAATGTTTCAAAAGTTCAAATTTTTCAAAACTTTAATTTTGAAAATGATTGATTTGAAAATTTTATTTTACAATTTTATAGACATGAAAGAACAATGTATTTTTTGTTTAAACTTTTTTCGTTATCCTTTACCTTTCTCAAGATAATCCGCGGGAAAAGAAATTTGTATCTCTATCAAGTGGTTCCACCCGTTCAAAGTAAAATACAACCCGAAAAAATTGCAATGTATTAGGCTTGACTTACTCTACTTACACACAAAGTTTCATAATTTCTGGAATTTCCAGGTTCGATAACTTCCCTTGTTAGACCACTTTCAAATTAATAATACATATATGTACTAATATTCTGTTATAACCAACGCGACAGTAGGTTATACCATGCGCCAAATATATGTTAATTTCATCATAGCAGCAGTAATCAAGAGCGTCAAGCATACGCGACGTTGATTTCTCTAAACGACTCTCTGTTACATATATGTGTCACATATACATACATATGTAATGTGTGGTCGCGAACGTGTTAAAGTTCTATCAGGAGTCTAATAATATAGGTACTTGAAGTTCAACGTATTAGCAAACATTATGACGCGTTACATAATTCCTTATTGACCGAAAAATGTAACAGTCCGGTGGTACTCAAATACAATTACCTCATTCCCTATAATCAGCATAGGCACGTCGTCAGCGTTACCAACAGCCGATTTTCTTTCCATAAGCCGCGTTTCTAAGTCGTCGGAAGCCACACGCGTCGAAGTGTGCATGATCAACTCGTTGCCACCTGTTCCCTACGATTGCGTACCGTGTTTACTTACCACTGGCGAGCAAGCCGAAGGCAGAGCAAATATTATTCGAGGTACGGGGCATGATTGGAAGGGTGAAAGGTTTCCTTGTTTGCGTGTCCATCGTGTTTCTAGGACAGACCACGTAGGCCTGAATACGTTAAGTGACGACAAAATAACACGGAAATCGATAAACCGAAACTAATAGAATCGAAACCGATGCGTGTGCGTTTGCGGAATCAAAGTTTTACGTGAAACTTTACGATTAAACTTCGAACGATCGTTTTCATTTGCTGGGAACGTGTCGAACGTTTCAATGACGCTCCCTTAAAATCGACTTCGTTGAAATTCGATTTGCGATCGGAATTCGAGTCGTTAACACTAGAACTATCGTACTAGTCAAAATGACTGGTTTCCAGTTTTTTGTTTTGCAATTATTAAAGCTTTAAAAGCATTGAACATTCGATATGATTTTGAAAATAAATAATTTCACTTGAATACCGTATTGAATGTCCGAAGAAATTGGAAATAATCTATTGTTACAATTGTTATAGAAACTACATATTAATTGTATTAAATGTTCGGTAGTTCTAATGTTAAATTGCTACAAACCCGTTAAGAAAACTCGAAATACACGAATCCTTCAGCTGTGATATGTAAACAGTAAAGCGACGGTTTCAGTTGTTCCATTAACCTCTTAAGTACTGCAAGCCATTGAAGTGGTTTTCACGAATGTCATCTTTGAAAGATGCTCCATTGGAACTGCATCGTGTATTCAAAAAATGATAGACGAAGGGGACGGTACAAGTGTCAAAATTGTGACTACATATCGCACCGTATTTTAAAATATATTATACTAAGTTGTACCATTAACACATTCGCTACCATCGTCGCATATTTGCGACGATCAATGTTCATATTTTGTGCAAAGAAGAGTAAATTACATTTACGAATGTTTTCATCTAATATTGTAACGCATGGTATAATGTGCAGGAAGTGGCGGAGATTTTTTTTCTTGATTCTAATTTGTATTTTATAAAAACGATATGTTTATTGAACCCTTTGAGTGCTGTGAACGAGTATATATGTCCGACGAAAGTCATCGCTGTGGACTATGGGTGCATATATGTGTTTTTCGATCTTTTTCATCTTACACATGTCGTAGTGACAGTTATGAGTATATGTAATTAATACTAAAACTGCCGAGCAGTTGAATTGAGTTATTGTAGTTTCTCTATAGAAGCTCCAAGAGTGCATCTATCGAGACTTTAAGTGATTTACAACTCAGTTTGTGTATTGCTAAATCAATTTGTTTAATAATTTCTCAGAGAAACATCTGTTATCTTTTTAATAATTGCAAAAAGAAGAAATCAGGAGTGAATCATTGTAACCCATCTGATAGTTTCAGTGTTAATATACGCGTTTCTTAGCATTATTCAATTTGGTGAAACTGAGTAATTACAATTCCAGTTTAATTAGAATTTACTTAATTGTATGAATTGACATAATTCATCGGTCTTCAAATGAGCAAAGAAATATTCCGTCCATATGGAACATTTCGGCTGGGAATATTCAACACTCAAAGAGTTAAAATATTGTAGCCACGGCGTCTGTTATTGAAAGAAATGCTGGTAGCAAACGGGTTAATTATTAAAGCACATATGTTCATGTCGCCTTGTTCTATTTAAAAAAGAAAATAAATTAACTAACGTACTAAGGAGTAAAAAGCATTATCAAACACAAATTGCAGTACTGAACTGTTAACGAGCATTCTGCGTCGAATTCTGCGGTACAAATAAACAGCTCCGTTGATAGTCCAGCAGTACCTGAAAGGTTAAAAGTGCATCGGTTTGTAGATTTCAATCTCTTGTTTCATGACAAGTTAGACTTGCAGTGATAATATGAAACGGAATTTAACAAACGTGTATATTATTAATTTTCCTTAGATCGAAATTTTAATTCTGCTGTTAGGAATATTGAACTTGTGAAGTAAATACTCGCAGGTGCACACATGTGGCAGAATACTCTAATTTAAATAGCGCGATCCGGAGGTAGACCCTCTGAATCTTATCCATTAAATTGAAGTTTTGAACGAACATCAAGTTTTCTCTGTACTTTTACATAATCCACTTTTAAAAAATTCGAATCACATTAAATTTTCGGGAAATTTGGCTTTCAATAAAATAACATCTTAAAATAATAAATAAAGATTATCTTAAAACATAATAAAATCTTCATTAGAGTCTTAGCCCCCTCGAAATGAATTAATATTTCCTTATAAATTATCCAGTTTCATTACAACAAGTAGCATATTTCAGATTCTAATTTTAGATGACTCTCTCAATACTTTCAACAAACAATATTCTTTCTGCTTCCGACAAATCGTTAACATTAATATATTGTCAAAAAGTCGTGATCCATTTGGTATTCCAGCGTCTCGATATTTAACCCTTCACACTCGACGTATTTTCAATGTCTTGGGTGTAAACTTGTATTTATTTTTTGGGAAATGAATTAAAGTAATTTACACTGGTAGAATTCAACGTTTTATATTTATTTTATTTATTTATTTTTATAATAAAATTTAATTCCTATAATCTATTAAAGTGTTGAACTTCTCAAAACAATTGCCAACGTTCTATAATAAATTTGTATTATCATTATCCAGCACGACATACGAGTGCAAAGGGTTAAAACGGTCGCAAAATAAAGTCGGACTTATTCGTGCCGAGATTATCGGTATTGTGCGCGACTATTTTTAGAGCACATGCAAATTTTCGCAACTCTTGCTCTTGCTGTCGTTCAAGCACATCTTGCTCAGTATTTCCCGGGCGAGGTTTAAGCTGAGAGCGGTCTTGCTGCCGTGAAGCTTCGAAAGAATCTTTCCCTTGCTGCCCTGCCGCCGTAACTTCTTATCGCGCGTCTCTCGTAGCCGGATCTGCTTGAGGACGCCCACTAGAAGTTCGTCCACGTTGTGCTGTATACCGCTAGACGTCTCAATGAACTTGCATTCCCTAGATGTAGCGAGCTGTTTCCCCTCTGCGAAAGAACACAAAATGCGATCACTGGAATGGAACACCTGTCGCGAAACTTTTTAGCACGATTTCCAGCTGCGTTTGTCCTCGACCTGTCTTCATACCGCCTGCTATTTCAAAACCCGCTTGCTTTGAACAAGCTTCGCTGATATGGAACATTTTGATTTGACGGTGCAGTGAGAATTCTAATAGTTGAACCGTTTGTTTTGAAAGTAGATTATGTCTGGTTTGCAAATTAAATTTATGACTTTAACAGTGAGAATTTTACGGTATCTTGTTATTTTTAAACGGGTTTTTTTTTATTTACTTAAGCCACTTTCAAAATAAACTGCTCAATTAACACTGTTTCTATTGAAATTGTGAAAAGACACTTGTTAAAATTTTCACTTAATAATATCTTATACTTTTTGATTTTCTTTTATGATTATCAAATCAAACAAGAAAAAAGTTGGGTTAATAATTTCTTAATGCTGATGTTAATTATATATTTACACATTCGCTTCCAGCGCTTATTTCAGTGACGGTCTCCTCAATTATAATATTTTCTTCAATTCAATAAATTTTCTAAACAAAATATTAGAAAAATAAAATTGAAACGAATCATTGAGTTCCTAAATATAATGATGTAGTTTTTAATTTGTAATAGCAATATCTGTAAGATTAATTTAATTTTTATTATGTAAAATAAAGGATTACGGCCGTCATAAATATGTGACGCTGGTAGCGAACGTGTTAATATTACAGGTACCAAGGAAAAAGAAAATATATACTTTCTTTTATTTGAGTAATTCATTTATACATGTTTAATTAAAAATTCTAGGTACATGTAACTGTTTGACATTCTCTAGTTTTTTAAATACTATGTTATATATTTATATAATTCTAGTCATTTTAATTATTTCCTCTATTTTTAATTCTATTCTCAAATAAATGAATTTTATTCTTTAATTTTTGTTCTGATAGAAACCTTTTTGTATATAGAAGGTTTTGAAATATTTTAAGATCACCTCAATTTTTCAATAATATACCGTAACTTCTATCTCTTGTAGAATAGCAGAAATTTTTAATCGATTGAACGCTGTGTAAGAACATTTGATATTAAATAAAGGAGTAAAATATAGATACTTCCATCGTAAGGGGCACCCCTTCTTACGACAACAAATTTTTAAACTTCAACCTCCCTTTACATCAGTTCATTAAAAAATTATTAATATTTATATTATACAAATTTTCGAATGCAAATAATTAATCTGCTCACCGAAGAATTTGAGTTAACTGTTTATCTATGAATGATTATCCATTTTCACGCAAGAAATAAACAAAAAGCAACGATGTTATTAAAATTCTTGGTGCATGTTTTATGATTACCACTATAAATCACTCAAATTATCTAAATATTTAACATTCTACTAGAAATAAGAAAATTGTAGTATGTCATTAACAATGAACATAAGTATCCTTAAAATCTCTCAAGAGTTGACTCACAAAAAATATCTGTAAATTTTAGCTCCTCTGTATATTTGTAATTGGAGTTATACGATTTGTGTAAATTAAATGTATTTATGTTCCCAGAAATAATAAAAATATTTCAGATAATCAAAATTCATTACTTCATCTTGTATATCAGTAATTCTAGGGTCCAATATTGTAACGTACATATCTCATGCCTTAAAGTATCAAATAACGTTGTATTTCATACTTTCATATCCTTTAGACCAGTGTCACGAAAATATGAAGTTTATTTTTAGTTGTTTACGAACGTCTTACCGTTGGACGTGATTGTGCGACATCTCTCCAGATCGGACTTATTGCCGACGACGATAACCGATCGCTCCTGGGTGTAGTGCTCCCTCCACAGATAATTCAATATTTCCTCGGCAATTTGGAAACTCGTACGGGACACGATAGAGTAGACGACAATGCAAGCGTGCGGGTCATACGTTGATAAAGAATTCTCCACCTGTGAAAATTCGACGAAGTCGATTACCGCGAGACACGTGTGCCTGTTTTCTTCTATATTTTTTGGAACACCAAATAGATTCGTCGTGCACCTAGAATGAAGAACGATGAATGGAAATCTTTGAACCGGATTTTTTCGGAATTAATCAATTTGTATAGGTTCAGGTAGCACAGAAATTACTTTGTGAACCGTAAAACATAAAAAGATACCGACTCAGGTTTTTTGTTTCTACATTCAACAATTCTCTAATAAATTAATGCAGTCAATAGAAAGAAAAGGAACAGGGAACACAATTTTACAATGATAACTAGTCTGCAAATTTTTATATGTTCGTTTAGCAAAAGTAGAATAACAAAAGATTAAGTTTTTCTATTGAAAGTTTAGGCAGACATCAAATATTATTAAATTGTATTTTCTAACCGGTGGGAATAAGGTGATCTATCTCCATCCTCTTAGTTTTTCTAAATACAAACCTGATATGACACCGAGTTTTAAACAATTATGGAAAAAAATGGAAATTCTGTGTTCAGCAACAATTACTTCTAATTCAATTTCTTTATTGGCACTATATTATCGATTCGAATATAGAATATTCATTTAGTTAGATTGATAAATGTATCGAAAAAGTAACTGCGCCGATGAACCATAAATGAAAAGAAAATCCCTTAAATAATAAGTTACAGATTCGTAGAGAATTAATATCGAACCTCTCGGAAAATGAAAGACAATAATTTTCTTTGAAAGGAACAAAACAAAGAATGAAAGAGATTCATGTTTAACCCTTTGGCTACAACAGTTTTTAATACCCGTACGTAATTTTACGTCAGTACGCATTTCTAAGAAAGTGTATTGAAACAATCGAAACACTGAATTGAACTAAATTAAACCAATATACACTTACATCTTATCCAAGCGAGCTTAGATGCAATTACTGTCAATATCTATTTTCCTGCACCTATAGGCATCAACAGTACAGTAAAGCCAAATTTTTAAAGCTCCCTAGGCGCCAGCAATAGCCAAAGATTTAAAAAGATTGAATTGTCAGAAAAAAATGGTATAATAAACATTAGCTTCTACTGCCACAACTACTCTGTTTAGGAGGAATGTTATTTATACAGTTTGTTGGCACATGTTCAATATTTCATAGAATGTAATAACACACATTGTTTGTTTGGTTCAAAATTATTTTCCTAGTGTGCCATTTTCGGCGCGCATTCGGGTTTACGGTTTTACGGTTTTATTTTCCCGCTTGTTTCGTGGCCTTTCGTATTTTCATCAACAGCTAGCCAGGATTGAGCCTATGAGAGAACATTTAATTGCAAGGGAAGGCCTGTTGGAGTTTCAGGTCTGTATGTAGCTGCGTGTAGTCGTACGACACTCGTGGGCGTTGCATACATTCGTGCTCAAAATTGAAACGCCACTTACGCTCATCTCCACGTGGGGATGATCGATGAACACCATTTCCGATTCCTCGCCATCAAGCAGGATCGAGACTGTCTTCTCGCCGAATTCGTCATCTGTAACGAGCAACCCCCCTTCATTAAGATAAATAAGAGATGCACTATAGATCACAGGAAAATTAGAAATTTGTTTGGTTTCTCTGTACGAGCCTGCGATAATTTCGTACAAAATTAGACTTGTCGGTTTTCCAATTTTTCTTCCAAATCTTTGGGGATATTAAATAAACAATTTTTAAACATGTTGATATTGAATTAGCTTGCATTATATGACTTGAGAGCTTCCAATATTTTTCGGTTTTGAATTAAATGAAGATTTTTAACATAAGTTGGCGAGAAGGAAAGTAAAGTCGGGTCATTTCCGATCCATATATTAGTCAGACATCAAGGAAAGAACTTCATCAGATTTTTATTTTAATACTTATATTAATATTAAAGTTCCTACTGATCCTTAAAATAACAATGTGTTCGCTATATTATATTGAATGGTAACATAAATGAATTCGATTACATTCAAAATACTTTCTATTTTTAATTCACAAATCAGTAGGCTATCAATATTAAGTTTAAACTACAAAAAGTTTTTGTTAATCCCTTACCTTAAGATTCATTTCTCAACTATAATCGATACAACTACTTTGCCAGTAATAATTTATCTAAAAGATAGAAGGGTTCTAGGTGTATTCTATGTTTATGTTTGCTCTAAAGTATAATTATTGATAACAGAAGAATAATGTTTAATTTGAATTCAGAGTTGAATTATATTTATGCTTGTTAAATTCTTTTTAAAATCTGCATCACCAGTCTGACACGTTGTTATAAGGCAAGGGGTTAATCACAATAATATAACCGAATTAACATACCTAAATGTGGAAGAAAGTTATTCAGATAAACTAAAATAATATAACTAAATTTTTACAATGAGAATACGTTTACATATACAAACAAACTTATTTACATTATATAAACGTATTGGGAAGAAAGAAAATAAAAGTCAACGAATACTGTAATCAGATATGAGTGTTGCACAAAACAATAATGGTGTTTCGATAAGCGCGATAGTGTCAACAAGTAGATACACTTGCAGCAAGAAGTTCCACGTTAACGATCCACCTTGGCAGAGCTACACGAAAGTCCCATTACCACGGGATACGGGATTCTGTCGGGTCTAGCGAAAACAGAGGGCGGTCTGGTTAGGAAATTGTAAATATGACTTTCCTCGAGGGATGCGCAGTCCTGAACGCTCGATGACCGGTGTTATTACATTGCCAGCGGACACTTGTGTCGGGTAGAAGGAATTTAACATTACTGTTCCATTGGATGTACAGAACCTTAAGCCGGGAAAGAGGGAGTTTATTGAATTAGAAAGTGGTAAGTGCAGAAGGGGTAAGTGCAGAAAGGGTGTAAGTGAAGAAACGAACATAGAATGGAATAGAAAAACTTCAGTGTTTTACAACTAAGCCAGAAAAATTCTATAATTCTTTAATCTCAAATTCTGTATTTAAATATTTTTTCATAAATGTCTAGTGCCCCTTTTTCTTAATCGTTCTGTTTTCGTTATTACATGTAACTTTTCTATTATTGAATGCAACGAAACTAATTTCTAAAGATGCAGATTTTCTGTTTTTAAAATATAACGATTTTGTAACGTAAGTTGACATTAAGATAGTGGTTAAATTTATGAAAATTTTTATTTTAAATTTTGGTAACCCTATATAGGGGCGGAATTTATATTTAATTTTACTTGAATGGTGATGCATATTTCATACGTTTATGTTAAATTCATGCATATTGCAATTACATGATGTATAAGTGGAATTTCGTTGCTTCTCAAATGTTATAAATAAATTAATAACCTGTCATACTAAAATACATATTAAGCTAAATAATATTGATTCTAGTTTCGGAGTGAAAGGCCAAAACCCCTTTGCTCGCAAAAATAGCTGATTACAGCTCTTTAATAGCGACACAGAATTCTGTGTATGCATTTCTCTTACGTATGGTTTGATTGGTACAAATTTCAATTATTTTATTACATTTCAATGTACGTGCTTTACTCTCCAGCTGAATATATTCCAATTTATAAATTCGAACGTTATACACGATATAAAACGGATAATAGATTTTCCAAACTGGAAAATTATACTATACGGATTAATCAAACGAACATGTGTTTGGTAAGTCTCAAAATGAATATTTTTATTTGCAAGTCTAGTAAAACGTAAAACGTAAAACGCAAAACTAGAAAAGTTCATGTTCGGTCATTTAGATTTTGAAAGTGATAAATTTAAAAACAGACAATTACGATACGTATTCGTGTAATTGCACCAATCAAAGTCGACTTAAATGTTTACCAAATAATGTTTATAAAATTCAATGTGCGTCAAATTGACGCGTTTTGTGAACCTAGTATGACCTGTTAACTGTGGAATTTAGTTGAAAAATTTCTCGTTTAGCGCGCAATAAAATACAGAAATGAAGTGTGTACTCGCCAAACGAAGGACGAATGCGGCTAGAACATATTTTAATGAAAAACCAAAGCAAAACGAAAAAGAATTACATATTCACCTGAAAAAATAAAAAATTTATCGTTGAAAAAATTAATATAATTTCAAGCTTTAAGATGACGTGTATACTCGTCAAACGCTGTTAACTGGTTAACACGTTCATTACCAGCATCGCATATTTGCGACTCTCAATGTTCGATATTTTGTGCAAAGAAGAGTTAATTACATTTACGTGTGCTTTCATCTAATATTGTAACGCATAGTATAATGTGCAGGAAGTCGCGGAGATTTTTTTCTTGATTATTATTTGTATTTTGTAAAAACGATATGTTTTATTGAATAAAATATCGTAACCATAGACTCTGTTATCGAAAGAAATGCTGCTAGCGAATGGGTTAATATCATTGAAAGAAGCAATGCGTAAAACGAGATCAGATGATCTTAACTGGTTTCTCGAGGTAAAATGCGCCCACAACTGCATCGATGATTCCGTAGTCGCGCGTGGTTCTGCGATAGCGGCCGTTTGCAGCGCATAACGAGCTTCGTTATTAATCGAACGCCATGAATCTGCGTTCCGGAAAAACCTTGACGTCAAAAAAAGGGCGTCGGAAACAGGAACACGACGAGGTAATACATCGAGGATGCTCCGAAACGACCACGATAATTTCTACGAGAATTGGGACAACGATAATACTAATTAACGCGTTTGCCACGAGAATTCTGTATGTTACGTATAAAATTATTTATTCGTTAAGAACAAACATAACCGGTATTAAACTTAATTATTAATAACATGAAATCAGCTTTTAAGTTACACTATTATCTAGTTATTTGTGATGCTAAATATTTTTATTCGAGATACATTTTCTTATTGTTTTCAAGCAATTTAGAAGCACAGACCCTTTGTAATCACCGTGGGAATCAACATGTTAATACTTTCGCTACAATAGACGAAATACCTCGGTTCTACGATGTCGAAGAAACGATGTCACGGACGAGATATCTCGGCACTATGATATGGTTGTACAATGCTATGGACGAGATATCTCGTGCACCTTTATTATTGGTATGAAGTGTTTTATTTGAAAATTTGTCAGAAATAATTGATTTTTAAGATATGTCATCGTTGGTGGAAGGTGCATAAAGATAATAAATACAATATAAAATACTCTATACTTTACACAATTAGAGTTTTTATTGTTTATTTTGTATAGAATGTTTTACACAATTAGAATCTGATGGATGACAAGAACTGTAAACACTATAGGAGAATCGCAAAATATTTCCACTGCGTCAAATAGCGCGCCTATCAACATTACTTCTATGTTAGAGTACCAATATCATGCGAGGGCAAGAGAGATCATTGAAATCGATGTAGCAGATCTAATATACAAAAATACAATCCACAGAAAAGATGTCATCCAACCATAAAATGTATAGTATGCAAAAACAATGGTCGACAGAAGGAAACCAGATATTTTTGTAAAATTTGTTCCTTCGCAATATGCATTTCATCATGCTTTCAAGCATTTCATACAAAATATACAATATAAACTCTAACTGTGTAAAATATGGATTATTTTATATTTATCATCTTTAAGCGCCTTCCATCAACGATGACATGTCTTAAAAATTGATTATTTGTGTAAAATTTTCAAATAAAACACTTTATATCAATAATAAAGGTACACGAGATATCTCGTCCATAGCATCATTTCTTCGTCATCGTGAAACCGAGATATCTCGTCCATTGTAGCGAAAAAGTTAACAACTAAATTAATTTAAATAATTTTACAGTGAATAATTTGCGAGAAAACAAATAAATCTTCTATACATTGCAAATGTAAATTGATTTTGGTGATAAAAACATTGGGAATAGCAAAATAGTCTGTCACTTCTTCTGATGTATATAGGGTAAAACACCGACTGCTATGAAATTGCTCTAAAAATCTCCACCGCGAGTCTCACTCGTCATTATACGGCAAGGGGTTGAAGGGGAAAATGAAATTGTACAAGCTTAGAATTGCGAATAGCCTGGGCGAGAAACTCACTAAAAGACACGCCGACCGAAAGAAATTCATTAAGAGCAGCGTGGTTGTTACAGATACCCCCGAAACCGGACCGCGGTAAAGAAACACTCGTTAATTCGAAACCTTTGCTGTGATTTCAGGCGTGCGTTTATAATTAATATCGATCGTCTAGCTCGTCGTCTCCTCTCTAACCGCGTTCAAAGAAAGTTTTCCCCTCGTGATTTAGAACTTGAAATGAAACCGCTGGTTCGTTGGAAATGAAACAGGAAGATCTCAGTTTTCCTGCCGAGATTAAACTTTCTTCTTAATTGATGGCAACCTTGTCAGGATCGAGCCTGGTTGCACTTAACAGAGAAGTTAAGTTTGTAAACTGCTCGTGAATTTGAGAATTTAGACGATTTTGAACGCTTAGACGTTCTTTCACGGAACTGGATATTCAGATAGTCTATTTGACATTTATAATTGGGCTCGACAGAATTATTTTATTGTTTATAATTCACTGAAAAATGTTCCACTGTCATTTTATGTGTACGTTTACTCTAAAGCACCACAATTGATAATAAGTTTGAAGTTTTTGGCACAAACTGACACGATATTATGAGGTAAAAGGTTAAGTGAAATGTTATTTACGTGGCACGTGATCTCGTTGCAAAGCTTGATTTTACCAAGTACTTTACAAATCTACAGTATAGAGAAAAAAATTTTTCTTTTATTTTCATAAATAAATTTAATTGAAACTGTAATATTTCAATTTTAGTTATGCCTACGAAGCTACGGCAATATTAAATAGCGTAAACAGGAACATTTGAATCGAAATAAATCGTATGGTAAGGGATTAATTTCAGAAATTAGTAATATAGCATTTTCTCATGTATCATACTGCTATAAAGAATGGTTAATTTGATTTTTTGTCATTTTGCGTATTACTCACTCCCTCGAAATTTTTACGTAGAAAAATGTAAAAATAGTAATGGGTACACTGCTCGTTTAAAGTATTCATAATAAACGTGAATGTTTAAACTTGAAATAAAACAGCTTAACCCATTTTTCGCTGGCATTGAGTCAACGCAACAGTGTCAAGAATTACTTTTTCTATAATTACTCAAGCATTCTCTCCTTGAAAAAAAATTTATAAAAGTACTGGTATGTACATTCATAATTAAACGTAGAACGAATAAATAATAAAAAACTATTTGGTTTATTTTAAGAACATACACGTTGATTAAAACACGTATTAAAAATCATTTACAACCAACAAGAGCTTCTATCAGTCAATGGAAATAATCTGTGATGATATTCTTAATAAAAGATCACTAGGAAAGAAGACAGAGATTCTGCAGAAATACTATATATAATTTATGTTCATGATAAATCTAATATACACATTCATTCCAAATGTCGTTTTAAATGTCACAACATATATATTTCTTTATGTAATTTATATCTTACGGTACGGTTATAGTTGAAATCTTTATCATTTAAAATATAGGGTAATAAAGTCTTGAATCCTATTAAAATGCATTCCTTCACTAGAATTGTCTTATCTATTACATTCCTTTTACATTCAATTAAAAATGAATTTTTCAGGTTTATTACTAGTACATCTTTATTTTATTGCTGAATTTGATAAACTCAACGTAATTAAATTGGTTCACTTTTGTGCAATACTGAACAGCGTTTACAGCGCTACATTAAATAATATATTACGTATTCTATACCCGCGTATTGCCCCTGTCTGTTCCATTATTCTCAATCATTTATTCTTTTCATTTCTTTTAAATCCTTTTCTGTTTACAGTAATTTATTATTGTCATTTCTGCAATGCTAATTTTATATATTCTTTCGTATTTTTGAGAACTGTAGACGTAAATGAGTAACAGTAAAACCTTGAACTTATGATCAAAATTGTTTAATCGATATCGTAACTATTATAAATGTGGGTAGCTGTAATATAAGTATATATTAATATATTTACACGTTTATAAGTAATGTAGTTAAAGTTTAATAGTTACAACAAAATACTATCTCTTTTCATATCCCCTCGTAATGTAGTTGCTTAAATAGTAGCAATCATCGAATTTATATTTAATATGATAAAGATTGTAAAAGTGTGAGAGTAGCGATATAAACAGGAAGGAAACACTTTTATAAAAACATTGTACGTGCTATTTTACGAGTTTTTGAACATCGATTGTTCGGTAATAAATGGATGACAATATTCGATTACACGTGGTCTACAGATGTCAAAAAAATATGGTTTACAACTTTTTGATGTCGCTTGGCACATCTGAACTATAACGGCCACCGAATCTGAATTAAATTACGACATAAACATTTAAAATTAGTTCTTACATTTTTATGGTTGCTTCTCGTATTTTGCCAATACTGTTTAGTAGTGTATAAATATTTTCTAAACTACGAGATCCTCATCGTTTTCCTATTACCACTGAATACAGAATTATTAACAAACAATTATTTCAATATTATTTTCATCTATAATAAAGCATTATAAAGTTGTATTTTATTTTCAGTCCATCGTCTATTATATAATAGAATATAATAATAAAATATAATAATGAATATTATACATTTCCAAAAATATGTACCTTTTACTACGAAGCTTTTGATGTAAATAATACAATGTAAATATGAATTTTAGTGTACTCGAATAATAAATATTCCAAAGATATTGTATTAATTCTACAGGAATGCCATATACCAAAAACATCTGAAAATATGCAAATAAGAAAATATAAACAGTTCACAAGTTGCAAGGGATGTTGTTACATAATAAAATATCAACAGGAAGGACAAGCAAAGAAATGCCAAACAGTTGGTTTACGGAAGACTCTGCCCTCGGGTATGGCTGGAATTTGGATCAACAAAGCATAACTTCGAAGGGAGCGACGGAAACAAAGCTTCCCTGAATCATTTCCATCGTAATATCCAACAATGAACGAGACCTTTGGATTGTTCGCAACTGTGAATCGCAGAGCGCCTAGTCGCGGTTCACGGATTTACGACCAAACCAGTAGCCACAAGCGTGGAAATGCGAAAGAAACGATAAAAAAAAAGGTCGGGGGTGAATTCACCGAATCGAAAAGTCCTTCGGAACCATGGAGCGACGCGACTGCACGAATATTGTGTACCACAGGTTCCTATTCGTGTTGAATTTGCCTCTGCTAAAAAAAGGGTTCAAGATTTTAAGGGCAAATAATACTCGTCAAATAAAGAAAGAAGAAGTTCTGTTGAATATGCATCGAAAAATTTATATTTTCTATGTTATAAACAGTGTTTTATTCTGGTTGAAGCATAGTGCTTTCCTTGCTTCGAAAGCTCAGATTACCTTACCATTTCTATTTTTCCTGATTATAATATTAACACTAACACTACCAGGTGGGTCGAAGTGGATTATTCCTGATCTCTTCCTTTTGCAATTATTAGTGTGTTAACAGATATTTCTCTGAGGAATTATTAAAGAAATTGATTTAGCAATACGCGAACTGAATCGTAAATCAATTAAAGTTTCAATAGATTCACTCTTGGAGTTTCTATAAAAAAATGTCAAAAAGTCAATTTAACTGTTCGATAGTGCTAGTGTTAATTCTCTAATATACATATGTAATACGTGTGTATAGTGAACAAACAGATAATATTTTCAGAACGATCTTTTTCATACGAAAAAATCAATGGCTAAACAAGAAATTGTATATAACTATCGTTTATTATTTTCTTCTTCTACTTTTCTTTATTTTACACTTGAATAACATGAGATTGATTTTCTTTTATTACTTTCCGCCTGATAAAGCTTAGATTACCTGTGCCAGCTCTCCCAATTATAGAAAACGCTTGTTTTATTATTTTTATCTGTTTTAATTATTTGCGTTACACTATCAGAATATATTTATCCCAGACTTTCTTTAAGAACAGTACGATACTAAATCTTGAACATTTGCATGCGCGTGCCATTAATCTATGAAAACCTATTTCTATTTATAATAATTATAAGCTTTATTAGTCAAAAGTCATGCCAAAGGGATTAAAAAAATTGTTGGTTTTGTCACGAAAAAAGAAAAGGGAGAAGGTCCGGACTTAAACAGAACGCGGCAGGCCGACGCACTTTCCGCTTCGTTCTATTATTAACATCAAATTTCTTTATGCTAACCGGCTGCTCGTAGGCGGAATACAATAGTCACCAATATCGTTTTAACGTGAAGATCGCAGTTACACGTGGAAAATGTGTTGGGCACGGTGCAGCTGCTGCAGAAGGAAATTTAACCTCCATAAAGGTATGGAACATGTTGACTCCCACGATTTTTCTGTGCTACTTTAGTGTGCCAATTCTTTTTATAGAATTTTAAACATAGACAATAGAGATTAAATTAAAAAAAAACGTAACCAAGCAAGTGTCACAAACCTCGTAATTCGTGCGTTAATTATAATAAAAGTATGTTATATCGTAATAAAAGATTTAAACAAAATTTGTATTATATTGCAAATTTTCATTATACTAGACTGTACTCCAGTGATAATTTTAAAAACTTGTTCAAACAACGGGGACGGTAGAATTAAATAAAAAAAGAGAGTGTGAAACAAGATAAACACGGAGTCTAATAGAAGCTGAAAGGAAATGATTGACGTAACGGTTGAGAGTATTATCGACAAGTCTAAACGAGAATCCGTAATCTTTGATCTGCTCTATTTCTATTACGTTGGTATCGAACTCTCAGTCAAGATATTATCATAGAAGTGACGCAGGTTACTCGATGCAGAAGAAACTTGAAATTGAGTTTGAACTACATGCAAACTTGCATCCAACGGTCTTGATACTACGGGATTAAAATTCAAGGTCAGTATCTCGATACAGGGAATAGAGCGTACAGAAACCGATTGACAAAAAGAAAGTCATCAATGAAGGAAGGTGGAAATATTTACCTAGACTGGCGTCGTAGGTGTTCATATACTCGCTGGTCATGAACTGCGAGACCAGGGCTGTTTTCCCGACTCCAGAATCCCCGAGCAACACAACACGGTATTTCGGGATTTCGTCGATTTCATCGCTTTCCGTGCTGTCTGCAGCGACGCCCTGTCCGCTACAGCAGGAACCGTCGAATGGCGACCTTTCGCCCGACACGTTACTGTTCCTATACAAAAAATTCGAAGGTGTACATTTTCATATCCTTACAGTGCAGTTCTTATGTTTTGACTGAGCTCCGTCAAGCTAAAAGTGCACAAGGACAAAGGGACTCTTCCAATCACGATGCTCGGGCCATCTTGGCTTTCGACGCATGATTATTATTGGTAGAAGTAACAAAGGACCGAAGCGAGACCGAATGCGATGAAGTGAGATGGAAGTACAATATTCTTACGATTAGTACCCGAAAATCGGGACTGTGATCGGGCACTAATCGTGCAGTGGTGTTGATTCGAAGTCGAGGTAAAGAAGGACAATGCGAATGAAAGAACGGGATGTCCAAACTTCGGAACGATCAAAAGAAACAGATGAATGAAAGAATATTAATGCAATGTGAAACTTTTTTATTTTTCACTTTTACCAATTGAATAGTAAGTTTTTTCTGACTAAAACGAGACCAAACACGATACATTTTCGAACATACGTACTTATTTAATAAATTACAGTAATCTATTTTCTTCTAGTAAATTGTGACTTAAAGTATGTTATGTTTAGTCTTCTTTTAATCAGAAGAATCTCACGTATGCGTTAGTAAAAATTTCATTTACAAAAAATCTCTCATAACACAGTTTTACGATTGCATTAATATTGTCTCGCCGATTGTCTGACCTATTGAACAGCGTACCATGTTACAACTGCTCCACGATCAGATTTCTCGGCTTGCCGAGGGCACTCGGTCAGTGGTGGGGATGACTGCAGATCGGACCGCGTAAATAATAATTGCGAGAATACTGTATGAAGAATTTTGTTTTCTATAGTTCCGTTTTACGCTGTCCCCTTCGGTCTCGCTTTCGTCCTGTGTTATTGCTGCGCAGCAATGATGACTACGCATCGAAAGCCGAGGCGGTCGAAACATCATGACTGCAAGGGTCTCCTTGTCTCCCTGAATTCTCGTTAAGAAGAATAACCGCCAACACTTCTCGACCGGAGAGTACATCTCACTTCATCGCATCCTGTTTCGCTTGTGTTCTTTGACTTGGCTAGTAACAAAGACGTGTCTAAACTAAGTCCGTCACTACTATTGGGCCGAGCGCCGCGAGTGGATGTTTCCCCTTGCCCCTCTTCACTTTTAAGCCATAGGCCTGTTTGGCTCACGTCAGTAACACACTGTACTATTAGCTTAGCGTAGCTCAGCCAAAACATGAGAAATGCACTGTGTGAGGATCAGCTTGTATTGTCCGTTGCTCGAAAGACGGCAGATGCAAGGAATGCGGGCTTGAGTGGCTAAAATGGAAGGAGCCCTGTCTGTTGCCTTATGCATTTTCGGCTCCAGCGTATGATTGGTCGAATGATCGCAGACATAGTGTCCGTCGCATCACTCGTAGCATACAAGGAAAGCCCTCTCTTGCACCTGTGCCGGCTCGCATGTCGTCTTTCGAGCAACGGACGGTATATGTAAAGAGAATCAATTGTTAAATTAAAATTATAATTAGAATACGAATTTTTATGCATTTATAGGACGTTAGAAAGTTGAAAATTGCACAAAATTTACACAACAGATAAAAAGATATAAAATATCGAAAGTGTAGTGCTGTTTATAATGTCTGCCGTGGGAAAGTGTTTTCTATCGCAATTCTATTTTTCTAATTATATTCGTATATGATTTAATTTGTATACAGATTCACAGTTTAATTAGAACTCGTAGAATATATATTTGAGTTAATGTTTGCATTTATCATTCTTATGTGTTCTGTAACGTTATAATCATAAAACATGAAGTCTAAAGCGGTGATTAATTTGGAGTCTTAATAACAATTGTTTATGGATGACTCCTTCTTTCTTAGAATCTGACTCGGAAGGACTCAGAAAGACAGTTCTTGACTCGACGATGTATAAATATAGATAAGAATGTTACTGTGTCTATTTATGACTTCTATTTAAGTAAGGAAATTAAAACGGAGTTCTTGGAAAACAATATCTTGCAGAAAATAGTTCTTTGATTGTTGCATGGAAAAGTTTCCTTTCTCAATTCGTTGAAGCACTTCGCTCTCTTCTTCTTTATTTTAGATCACTAGATCAAGAAATTATAAACAACGTGAAACGAATCACACATATATACACTCCATGCAATGTAATCCAACGAAACCCTCAAACTTTTTAAATATCGAAAATTCCCATTGTAATGTCCA